AGATGACAACTTCTTTGATGGAAAGAGGGATGGGAGGGAATATAGCTGGCAAGTGAAATAGACTGTTCCTATCCCTCTTTCCAATTATAATATTCATACGCAAAATAAAAATAAAAAAACACTTTTACGTATATTTCAAATGGACAACAATTCATCATTTCAAAAAAGTTAGCAAACACAAAACATCTCCTTCAAAATGATACTGTATGCTGTTCAAAAACAGTTTCGTCGTATTTTCGGACAAAACAATATCTCGATTTTTTATTGTCCGTGCATACAGGCACAAACTTACGGACATTCAGCCTTGCATTCGTTCTGCAAACAATGCGAGCCACGTTACTTGTATTGCTAAGAGGTTCTATTGTTTAATCCCACAATTAGCCACGAATTCTGCCCAGATGAAAGAAACTGACCAAGTCGCCGACGAAGTGTAGCGCGACGGGTAAGAGTTGATCGTTGCACAATTCGTCCAATCGATTGCAAGACAATAAATTCTCTGGAATCAGTCTGAGCTCTAACAGTTTTCAGCTACTAGTCACCTCATGAAAGATATTGTCTATTGATATGGATTGCACCTTTTCACCTGAATCATTGAGCGACCTTTGTAACTCGACGCTCTGACGATCAATTGTCGGTGGTGCAGTGGTAGCGTATGCAACTGCTGTGCTGAGGTCTCAGGTTCGAATCCCGGATCGGACCAAATGTTTGTATAATCTGCAAATATTCGTTTCGGAGTTTGGGTGTTTTCTATGTATAACTTCAAGTATTGTATCAGTCAATCTAGTTTTCGTAGTACAAGCTTGCTTAGTTTGAAACTAGATGGCGATGTGTGTCAGAAGTCCGAAAATATCCGAAATATACAGATGAGCACGTTATAAGAAACATAATTATGATACTTCGATAAAAAAAATTAAGCACTCGTTTGAGAAATTGTTAAAAGGTCATAGCCTAGATAAATAAAAATTATAATTAAAAGCTTTGGAATAAAGTTACAAATGTTATTTTTGTCTTAAAAATAATATTACATTTTACATAACTTAAGTTCACTGATGTATTAAACCTTTATTTACTTGTAATGTGGCCAAGTATCTATAACGTTTATTCCTCTTAGATATGTTTTAGGCATGTGGTCGAGTCCAAACGCGATGCATCACTATGCTTACGACATCATAATATGAACATAACTTAAATTATAAATAATATATGAAATAATGAAATAAAAAAAGATGATAATATGCAACCTTATTTATGTCATAAAGCTGTTAGGTAGGTCAGCGGCATGTTATTGTAGAAAGCAATACTTTCATATCTGAAAAAAATACATGAATCCTTCAATGAACCTCCTTTTCATCTGCACACACACCTCGACACTTAAGGTGGTTTTAGAGGAAGGAGGAGAGGTTTGGCAAGATGGGCAGGCGTGGATAAAAACTTTGCCATGCAAATTTCAATTTATGCCAATGCCATCTACGCCTCGATCCCCACAATCTTGATTCCCACACAGGGTAAAAATTTATGGAATCCAACACTGAGTTATTGACAAACAAAACCACTGCCATTAAAAATATACTCTAAAAATCTGTTAAAAATATATTGATTCTAACAATCATGCCCATTTTCACTTGTAAGTTGTTAAATTCGGTATATTTACCATATTTTTGTGTCGCCAATTAGTTGCCGATATTTCCGCACTGTTGCAAGCGCCATCATCACGGATGAACTGAGTAACGGTAGGTGAAAGGTTTTCATTCTTACAAACAGACAAATTTGCCTACCCTCTTTCTAGTTCGTTTACTAAACATTACAGCATATCATCAACGCAGCTCCATGAGAAACATCAGAATCCAATTCTGTTAAAAAATTGTTTGATTTCTTTTCAGTAAATTAACTTCCTTTCAGTGAGATATTTTTAATGCCGACCCAGTCAAGTTACCGATTGGAGCTGGTCTAAAGTTATAGTTAGTCCTCAACTTTGATGGCATCCAAAGATCGCATTTTTGTATACCAACTCGTGTATTTAATATTAATTAAACCATTAACACATTAATAATGATTATCCATGTTAGTCCTCACTGCGCTGCTGGACGCTGCAAGGCTCAAAACTGCCTACAATGTATTCATATTCTAATGCAAACTGCCGAAACAATCATCAATTTGGCTGCCTACCTACCATTCATGTTCGTGAAGGTATTTTTATTGTGTACTTAAGGCCAACTCTTCTAGCGTAAAGTACTACAAGTCATTTGGACTTTAAAAATAGTAACACGAAAATTAGACTAAGTATTTGGGTACCGTGATTAAATTCTAACCTATAATTTTGTAAGATTAACATCAATTAATGAATGAACAAAATAGTTTAGATTTTTAAGATACCTATATATCATCAACAGCCTTTAATAGTCAAAGTCAAGTTTTCCTTCTCTTACAGTGTTGTTGTGCTGTGTAGTTTACTCCCTTAGTCGGCTCTTACGACACCCACGGGATCAATAGAGGTGGTGACACTCCGTATTGTTAATCTGTCACCACACGGATGCTTATAATATTACGATGATATTTATTTATTTTTAACTTCCAACAAATACATTTCAAAAGGCGGATTTAATTCCATGGGCATTTTGTTTGACCTTTGGGTGATACAGAGCTGAGTGTAGCAGGTGTACCTATAATTGAAGCTTATGAGATAAATGACTAATTAATATCTGTAAAAAAATTTTACTATATATATCCATAAAAATATTTTATACGTACTATACAATAGTTTAATAAAAATTATATATATAATAACTTATCATATATGTACTATAGTGAAGCATTATAACTCAACATCACGTACCAAAGTACCAAAGCAATATTAATATCAATGGGTTTTATTATCATCAACAGCCTTTAATAGTCCACTGCTAGACATAGCCCTCTCTTTAGAAAGGAGGTTTTGGCCTACTATTGGTTTAGTTAGCGAGTATACCCACCACATGCTCTCTCTGTATGTATTCTTTGCAGGAGCGTGTTATATAAGGGTAATTGTACAAAGGCAAATGTGTCTTGATTTTGTAACATGCCTTTATTAGCTTGGGATGTATGTATGTGTGTAGCGGTATCTTCGAACATGATTTTGACCCACTTCAAAACGTCGAATTAAATTGGAACTTCTCACACTTATCATGGACCGATGACAATACGATAGTTTGATAAATTTGTTTCGATTATCCTGATCAGGATTGACGGCTTTTTTCATACCTAAAAATACGGTAGTGTGTTTTGTCACGTTCTAAGAGCCGTTTGCTAAAGCATATGTGGCTTACTTACTTGTTACTAGTCTAATCTTAATGAGAAAATAATCATCTTTAATGACAAAAAAAAAACAAATAATACTTAGAAAAAAACTAAAAAACACGACTTTGTAACTAGCCGAACCAAAAAGTACAAAATAACTTTTCATAAGTTCAAAAAGAAAAACATTTAACGTAAAAAGGTGTTTTTCAAGGTATTTTATAATATAATAACTTTACTTTTACCAATAAATCAATAACCACTAAACTAATAAAAGTCAGTATTTTTTTTACAACAATTGAGGTCTAGCACAACACACTTTTTTACAATAAATTGATGTTCTTTTTTAAATTATAGAAAATTATTTTTTACTTTTAATTCGGTTAGTTACAAAAGCATGTTTTTTTTAAACTATTAGTTATTTGTTAAGCTTCTTGAGCGAGGCCTGCATCCAGCAGTGGACGGCGATAGGCGATGATGATGATAAGTGTGTCGAAAGCAATTTCATTTTTCATTTCATTGTCATCCCACATTTAGCAATTTTATAAGCCACGATGCAATATGTTGCTTTGCAAAGGGTTTTCGGTGACTTATTTTATAGACGATCATCTGCATCAAGTGAAACTCCGTTCAGCATTTAAAAGATTTTTCTCTATGCCCGAAAATTCGCGATAATCAGATATATGGTATGGCAATATATAAAAAAAGATCAGAAGGTGATCCTTATAGTTTCGCCATGTCCGTCTCTCTGTCCTTCAGTCCGTCCACAAAAAGAAGTAACTGTCTTATAGTACAATATACTTACAAATATTTATGTTTTGATACGAGTACAACAAAGTTTTTGTGGGTATCTCACCTTCTAACAGATTTTTCTTCTTGTCTATACCATAGTGTGCGATATCTCCATAGTGTGCCTCAGCATCGAATAACCATAACGTCATCACCTAATGCATCCCTCGACCTCATCAAGACGCGCTAGTTCAGGTGTGCCTCAGTAAAGAATAGAGACTTGGCATATAATTCCACCCCGTCGAAAAATGGAATGTGTCTTCTCGTTAATTAAAATCTTAGACGAGTTGTAGGAAAAGGTTAGAAGTATCTTTACAACAGAAAATGTGGGACACAAACTGTTACATCCTAACGTACAGATTTTGTAACTAAGTTTAGTTTTGTTTGTTCGTCCACAGCTTGGCTGCATTATGTAACTTAGAAATTGTAACGCTGAGTTCAGGAAGTTTTAGTATCTTGTAAGACTATAATCATTAAAATTCATTGGCATAACAAAACGCTCCCACTTGATAAACGTCAAACGTAATAGTTGGCGATTTTTACAAAGTGTAAGACTTATTAAAGTTTCAAAAAGTTTATTTAATATTCATGAGTATAATGAGTTTTAACTTTCAGCGCGAGGGGTACTGAAATTGCGGATAACGGCTAATAAATTGAGTAAAGAGACGCAGATTCTAAGACGACATGACGTGACAGGATGTTACATACAATTTCTGTTTATTGCATTTAAGTGGTAAAGGCTTAATATGTTTGAGGGCAGGTGTTTAAATATAATCACGGAATGTCATTTTACTAATTTAAGCAATTGATTAACGGCAAGGGACGATAGAGAGATCTTAAAAATATAACACACCTCATAGATATACAAAATCCAAATTAAACGGAACCGTGTTGGTTGCTAGTGGCATTTTAAAAACAAAAATAACTTAGAATAAAATATCCTATAGTAATACTACTCGCTTCTTAGAAGACTGTGTACTGTTCAGGTACTGAATATGTACTTCCACAAGTTGCCGAACCAGATTCGTAGTATCCACATTTGTGTGTACTATGTACTCGAATACCTTCAACTGCTGCAAAGCTTTCCAGTTGTCTCTGTGCTTCACTGCTAAATTAAATAAATCATTCAACATCAACCTTGACTTTCTCACTAAACTCAATATATATCCAGCTTTATATGGTGGCTGATCCCTCACTCGCTCCTTGACTTTCTGAACGGATGTAACTTTCTTGGTAGTATCGTGCACTGTCTGTTGGATGATCACCGCGATTTTCTTTTTAAGTAAGACATCATCATCTGATTGGAACTGTTCGGACATCTGATCCATACCTTCTCTCATTATTGGAAGAAACCTCCGTCCAGTTGACGATACGACGGAATTCGGAAATGTGGAAATTTGTGGAAAATCTCTGGTAGCAGAATCAGTAGAGGATTCTCTTGCTTCCGTTGTTTCCGATTCCATTGATTCTGGTTCCTCAGAATCAGATGGCAGATCGATAACCTTTAGGCTTTTGCATTCATTCGCAAGCATCTGCATGGCACCTAAAGGAGTTAAATTGATTGTATTACTGTAAGTATAAGGTTTTTCCAAAATAATATATGCCTATGAACTTACATAAAATTGTGATTACTTGTATGAACATATTATCATCCTTCTGATTGGCATAAAATTAAACTTAGTAATGGGCTCTGGCACTCATTGTATTATCGCCATATTCATGACGGATTTCGTTTATTGTTTTTAGTTGTAATTAATAGCTATAACCAAAAGCATAAAAGCGTAATTTACGAGTACTTATATTAAACGAAGCAATTAATGAAAAAACTAAGTAAACCTTAACGATATGCGTTATAACGTTCTGTATTATGAATCATTGGGATGAGATGATATAAGAACTCTTTCTACCAAATAATACGGATATACTTGTAGCACGGATGCCTAAGAAAAAGGTATGGAATTCAAAATAGGACGGTAATGGATGTCAAATTTGTTTATTGTGCGGTATATATTAGACTGTAGCCTATTTTTTTGTAGTTCCTCCATGGTATGCTATACTAATTAAAGGTTCACAAGTAGGAACAAGAATTTCGGTTTCTTCCAATTTAGTAAAAACCTCTAGAGAGCTACGTAAACACTGAAAAAGGACTCTACGAATCTATTTCCTATGACTCATCAAGTTCAAGGCTATCCTATGTCGTATCCGTATACTTAAATGGCATTAGTAAAGTATTAATCATCAACAGCCTAATAGTCCACTGCTGGACATAGGCCTCTCCTTAGAAAGGAGGTTTTGGCATACTATACCACGCTGGCAAGACAGGTTGGTATAGGATTTGAAGTATGATGAAACTTCCATTTTAAAAAGGCAGTCTCATCATACGCAACATTTTATCGCACACTAAATAGTGTGCGATAAAACCATATTCTTCCTTAACAGCGTTTTGAATACAACCTCTAAGTAAAATTAATTGACACCTCAAGTCGATTGATGTGACACTTCAAATTGTGTCAAGGCGAAGTCGAATGTTGCACAGTTGCTCTACTAAATTCTAGTTATGTTTGCTTCTGTTTTAACAAAATTAAGACTTGGAAACCATCTCAAGAGCCTTACTACACAAACACGAACATGCCACAGTGTGTTTGGTATAAAGGAATTAATTCAACCACAGAAGGTATAATTACAAAGTCTTTTGTATTGCTCCCTACAGACTTTAAATTTAAAGCAGAATAAATCTATTCATTGATTTGGCTATTTTTTATTATTAAAAAGGTTCTCCCTATAGTATCAATTCATTTTTTAAACAGGTTAGTTCGAAAAGCACATTGGAATACGGTACCTTAGTCTGGAGTCCGCATTATGCTATAAGTACACTCATTGCGACTTGAACGTGTGTTGAAGTGATTTCTCTAGCACCTTCCATTCTCCAATGGCATCACCTAATTAGGGACTTTACAATAATATCCCTAGCAAGTTGTATAAACCTAAACGATGCAATATTCGCATACGAACTTCGATGCTCTCGTTCTTGACCAGAAAATTGTCTGTCCTCAGTTAGTAGTCCTTTTTAAGTTTCCATCTAGCGTTCCGTCTAGACTCCCACGCAGCCCAGTCACGCCATTTGGTTCCCCTCTAAGAAGTACATTTCTTGGTGTCAATTCTCCTGCAATAATGTCTAAAGTGATAAATCACTAAAGCGCTCTTATTGAATTACGCTTTGATACAATTCGTAAGAAACTAAGTTTACTAAGACGCAATAAATGTAAAATGTAAAAAATAATATCGTATTAATAATCTACCTGCGTGAGATTTTTTCATTCGTTGCATTACTTTAGAGTTTTATCAATTTTTAAAGTATAAGCGGTGTTTATATTAGTTTAAGGAATTAATGTAAACAGTTGTTGGTGGACCTTTAATAAATAAATCATTCAATCGCGTTATTATTAGGTACTGGGTCCCTTTTAGTTGACTAATCGAGATCATAGCATGTTAAATAGCCAAGTCGTATTCTTGAGAAATTTTTGCTTTATTATATTATACTAGCTATTGCCCAAGCCCAAGCCCCTTAGCTCGCGTGATTGTTTCTTATATTTGGTGTTTCTAACTTTGAAAATAACGAACTTCCATAAAACAGTTCATCCCTGCGGGGAAAATTTCCAAAAATCCCTTATAAGTGTGGGTGCTTACACCATAAAAACCATCAACTGCCAGTACTTAAAGTTTGTAGCTCCAATAGTTTAGGCTCTGCTTTGATGAATTAGTCAGAGCATGTTATTTAATATGTACCTATAGCTAAGTAAAAAGACTTTATGTTAAATTCTGTTTCAGCTGGGTAATTTCAGAGTGTCGCAAGTGTCACCTGACGAGCACAATAAGATGTTGGAGATTATAAAGCAGTATTACATGCCAAATCACGTATTAGTGAGGGACCGCAACTTGGACCTTTCCAGCGATTGCGCACTCGATGAATACTTCCTAAATTTGTTTAAACAGGGTATTTAAAGGAATACTGTCTGATTATCGCATAAGCTCTTTGAACTTTTACGTGTGATTCTATACGCATGCACGATACCTTTAAAAAAATAGTTTGGTTAATATTAGGCGTCTCCAAGAGGGCTTTTTAGTTTGATTTTTGCTTGAATAAATTTTTGGTGTGTAATGTTTTTAAAAAGTAATGAATGTAACTTCTGAATAAGACAAGAAAAGAGTGTATTATATTATTTGATATTAAAGAAATGTTCGAGACAGTAATTAATATACAGGTTCTAATAGTAAGGACAGAACAAGAAGAGATCTATGAAGGGTATTATAAAATAAAAGGATGACAGCAGACAAGCGCCTTCTGATAACAGCATGTATAAGAATAATTAATGAAATTCTACTTTTTTATAATAATTAATGTGTGAAATTGTACATTTTCAGGTAATTCTTTATACCTCACTGCAGAAGACGGAACTGTGGCAGGGCTGAGTGTCAATTTCGCTAGTAGTCCTGTTGATCCCCGAAATTTAAGAAATTACGCATTTTACCGACAAGTAAGGCGCTGGACAAGCTATGTATTTTACAAGCCAAATATTTTAGTAATCAGCGGGCTTACTCTAAAATTCAACTGAAACGGTATTAAGTTTGATTTAATACTGTTATTCCCGAATGCAGATGGATGCGAGAAGCCGGAAATCGATCTAAGTGGCGTGCATTGAGAGAGGCCTATATCCAACATTGGACTGCGATAGGCTGATGATGATGATGATTCCCGAATGTCTGTTTTATCATTTGGCTCGGAAAGTATTTTTTTATGCTCACATTTTAGTAATAACTTTTGCCGTGACGGACAACCTTTTTGCGTAGATTTTAAATAAGACTAGATAATAATTTAAACGTGTACGCGATTAGATACAAAGTTATTGGTGTTTTTCTTGTGTTTTAATAGGACTCCAACACAAAAGATTTTCTGTATTTTATGGCAAAAATGCAAGAAACGCCAAATCTGTGGGATATATTTAAAGAGTCAAAAATTTTCGAGGTAAGATATATTTAACCATTCAAATACTTGCCCACGTTAGAAAAGGATATTTCAAAATTATAAGTGCGGAATTACTTCTGGAAAATTTAAAGAAAGAGTATTTGTAATGGGTATGTTTCATATTTTTAATGGCCGAAATATTTGAGTATCTTGCTACACCTCTTCTCAAACAGGCCATAAAATCAATATTTTATGGCCTGTTTTTAAATTATTTTTGCACATTAATATGTGCAAAGAATAATAATATTCCTTATTGTCGCAAACATTAGGTATACAGTTAACAACGGTACTTATAATTGGGCAAAAATAAATATGTTGTGCTTTAGGTACGTAAATTGTCTCCCAAACTAAGCGAATGCTTATATTTTGGGTGGCAGTTTTCAGTCGTGCATGTGACTCAATTACGAATTACAATTTTTGTGCATCTGTCGATAACGATGAAATATTTTAGATAAAAATGATAGCGGTACTTCCTGAGTTCCGACGGCAAGGGCTGGCTACACTGTTAGCAGAGAAGAGCAAAGAATTGGCTCACGATCAGAACTACAATATTGTACGAATGGACTGCATCAATCCGCACGAGTTAGTACCTATATTTTAGTTTACAACTATGTATTTAGAGTGTACATAAATTAGCTAATGCATTTTAAATTTTGTATCTGGTGTAGGAACTTGACACACTGTCATTGAACTTACGCCATTTTAAGTTATTAGAACATTTTTTTTAAATTTCGCTTCATCACTGAATTCAGCACTACAATACTTTGACATGACATTTTTAAAACAAAATCACAACGATTAGTACGATCATAAGCTTTTTTTTCTATAGCTACAAGATTGCAGAGCGATGTATGATGAACTGCGTAATCAAGTTCCCCTTGCACAAAGTACGTGGGGCCACTGCTCCCTTCATCAAACGCAGTTCCGATCTCAACGTGCTCCTACGTGTTTATGTAGCGGCGCGTGCGCAACCTAACGTCAAGGACAACTTAGATCACGAGCTAAAAAGATTAGAGCTGCTCATTGAATGAAGCTAGATTATGTATATTTACTTATAAGTTCTTCAATACGCTCTTCAAAGTGCACGTCTGTGTTAGTTTTCGAAGAAGAAAAAATATTTGTTGAAAATTTTCTGACTCGATAGTAATGTAAAATCTTTATTGAATAAAAAGTTCCTTTAGTATTAGTACACTTATCGAATTTTATTAGTTTTCAGTCTGTTTGAAGACAAATCTAAACAAGTGTTTGCTTGGCCTTTTCTTAAGTTTTAGCGTAGGAACAATAAATTGTCTCGTGTTCGTAGAGAATTAGATTTTTGGTGAAACCCTATTACAAATTTGTAAATCGTTATCTAAGAAATCAATAGTGATTACTGTTAACATAGAAGTTTGTCGTCTCCCTGTTTGGTGTAATTACTTGAAATATTCAATGCAATCTATCGTTAAGTCTTAGATTATGTATAAATAACGTAAGCGTTTTAGTTTCAGATTTCATTTGTTAATCTTATCCAAGGAGTTGTTCTGAGGAGCAGTTTTGTACTGCTGTCTGTATTTTTATTTCTGGTGTGTGTAGTTTCTGACCCAAAGGGCTCTTTTTTATTAAGAAGTAAAGCGCCCTGTTGCTACGATGTCAGACGTCATTATTGACATTACATTACACGCGTGAGTTAAATCGCACAAAGTCCAAAATATTTACAATTACAAAAAAATATATGCAATAAGTAAGAATAGATAAACACGTTCAGAGGTCTAGTTCAGTTACTTTGTTTACTTAAGATAAATAGTGATTTATGCCTTTTACTTTCATAACATACATTAATATTTTTAGAGGCAATGTCAATGTCCGAATGAAAAAGCAAAACTAATAAACCAAAGGTCCAATAAAAAAAATACGTTTTTTCCGAGTGTTATTCTTGGAATTAGAAGTTTCTCTAGTAATAGGTAAGTAAAACATCTGTGCAGTTTCTTAACAAATTTTATTTAATATAAACATATCGCAACAATATAGTTTGATTTATAGTGATGAGATTCTATTTCATAAAGAGTCGTAAAGAGTATTATGATTATTTGTTAAAAATCCAATTGAACGAGATCTATCATAAATAATAAAAAAAAGTACTCTGAGATAGTCTTAGTAACACCACAGGTAAGCTACCAGGAAGCGGAACGTTCCTAGAAAAACAGAAGTGCTTAATAGAATTGGACCAAGACTGTGGGAAGTAAACGGTACCACTGACTAGTTAAAAATTCTAAAAACCTTTTACACAATAATATTTTAAATAACAACATATTTTATATTCGTATAACTTCATCTCTCGGATTGTGTTGGCTCGAAGGACCATTTGTTATAATTGTGTCCTACAAACTGTTCTTTCAGGTATATCAACAGTCCTCAATTGTGCAAAAGTAGAATTATATTTGTATTCATACACAAAGTACAATATAATTCCTAAAATATTATACATATTTTCCTTTATTCTTTTTCACATAGTCCTCATGTTATCAAGGTCCTGTTTTCCGTCACGAGATCGTTTCCCGTTTGATCAAATATTTTTCTCCTTATACATTTCCGCATAAATCCCTTTTTTATTTTCGAGGTTATAAGGAGGTTATGTTTTAATTGACTAGTGATAGAATCATAATCTCAAATTTGTTTAATATGCACAAACTAATAAGTTTTAAATACTTGCAAGTCGAAGCACATCGAGCTCCTAATCCTAAATATTAAACATTTCCATGTGTTACGTTTACCCACTTGTTAAGAAAATTGCGGTCCACCCCAGCCAAACGCGCAAATTACTAGCAGTTGTGAACGAATCTTAAAATTGCGTATATCATACTGATGTTGTTCTGGTGGCGCGACAAAAGTTATTACCTACCAACCTACCTTAAAAGGTCAGTTGTCATATACACCTACCGAATATTGGAACAAGTTACAATAACAGGATTTTTTAGCTATCAACTCGCATAATAATTTTAGTTTTCTTTCTACTTTTTTTCAAATGCAAAGTGATTGTGACGCGCTGAGAAATAATTGTTTTGAGATTCATAAACGTCGAAATCGGTATTTACAGTTATTTATTTACTTAGTACAAGTAATTTTGATTGTACCAAGTAAATAAATTATCAACGAATATTAATTATTTTATAATTATATTTAACTCAACTTTTAATATCAATTAGTGATGTGTTCAAGGTTCAAAGTTGTGTGCATTAAAAATAGCCACTCAGTTTTTTCAAATAGGCCTATTTTTTTTCAAATTTATAGTCGCTACTTTTGTTGTTACATAAAAGAATACACTTCTTTCTTCTAGGTACAAAAACGAATCAATAGCCTTATTACTAGATTAATGAGAGCCCAGTCTAATGCTATGACAGTAATGAAAATTAAATCTTAATAGTCAATGTCGGACGTTAATTGAGTAGATAAGGTTTGATAATGGAGTCTTCTAGAAACTCTTGTGAAAGACGCAAATGGTCTCCTGGACTCGATAGGAATATGAGCTTGCCGTCTTTGTCCATTTTTTTCAGTCCGAGACGATCCTGAAATATAGGTTAATAATACTGTAAGTTAAGGTCGCTCTATTTTTTCATCAACAATAAAATCAGCGATAGATAAGAGAAGATAGATAATTTGGGACTATCTTCCTAAGAAGGGCTTAAGATGATGGATCCTAAGCCCTTCTTAAGACGATGTATGACAATGACAAGTCTAAACACTACTGTACGTAGTATTGTATTTTCTATTCCTACTGGTGAATCCACAGACGAACATAAAAGACTGTCAAGTCCCTAATTCTTTTTATTTTTTCCCATAGATATTTTTATAAATCTTTATATTTTTACTTTTCTCACTTGAAAAGTAGGAGGTTTTCAATTTATAATATACTAACAAACTTAAACTAACCAAAATAAATAAAGAAAAAAATACTTTGTCTGCATCAGGTGTTCTAACATGTAATAGGGTAAAGTAAAGTAAAGTATGAAATTGCCGTTGTATAGTAATAGATACTTTAAATGGACATAATACCTTTATGGTGTGAGATTTTCGTGTGGAATGTTTTGTTCTTCTTTTAAAAAATGTACTACCTACGATTTTCGACTGTCAATTGTTGTTTTGCATTGGATAGTTTGAAAATCCGAGTCAATTTTGAGCCAGAAACGGTTCGCAATATCAACGCTGCGTTTGGAGAGACTGCTAATGAACGCACCGTGCGTTTTTTGGTTTAAACTTCGACTGAAGGAACGAACCGACCACACAGGTGAATAACGCTGAATTGAACGAGATGATGGAAGCCGATCCCAGTCAAACTACCCAGCAATTAGCGGCATGGTTTAAAGTTACTCTACTTACAATATTGACTCATTTGCATCAAATCAATAAGATAAAAAAATATGAAAAATGGAATCGGTACAAAAATGAAGGAATATTCGATAGAATTGTCACATGTGACGAAAAGTGGATTGTTTACGATAACCGTAAGCCAAAAATGCAATGGCTGACCCCAAGACCCCAGCAGATTTTTACTGTGTCGAACTTCGAACAATGATGACGAAACTGGCAGTGCAATAGCCCCGACTCGTGAATCTATCTTCACCATGATTGCTCCACGATAACGTGAGACCTCACACTGCCCGAGGAACCGTTGTAACTTTACGGGAGCTGCAGTTAGAAACTATACGTCATCGTCCGTACTCGCCAGATCTTGCTCCAACGGACTACCATTTTTTTCGTGATTTGGACAATTTTCTAAGTGATAAAAAAAAATCTTCTCAGGACGCAGTACAAAATGCTTTCACACAGTTTGTCAAATCTAGATCCTCAAAGTTCTATCGTAAAGGCATAAATAAACTTCCGTTTAGATGGCAGCAATGTATAGACCATGAGGATAAATACTTTGATTAAATAAATATGTTATATCTTAGAAAAAAACGAGTTTCAATTTTTCAGTACAAATCGGCAATTTCATACTTTAACCCCTAATATTTTTTACAAAAATTATAATATTTCATTATTATCATATAAATGGTAGAATGACTTGCAATTAGAGTTCAGTGAAATGATCATTGCTGATAACTTGTTAATGCGTAAAGACGGACAAACTTAAATAGTATATCACTCACCTCCAAATATAGTCTGGACTCTTGAAGCTTTATCAACTTCTTGGACTGCCCCGGTGCATAAAAGCCGAACCACTCCGATTCTCTAGGTAGAACTATGCTGTCTGATTCAAACAACACCAGGACTAGGTGTTCTAACTTATTCAAGTTCGCTACATAAGTGTCGTTAATATTGACTTCGTTGTTTATATCGGCGAGGAATGTACTCTTGTGTTGATAAAGGCCTTCCGCGATAGGGTCGTGCCAGTATGTAGCTTGGACCAGGCTACGTTGGACCCAGCTGCAAAGAATGTCACAAAGTATATAAAAGATCAACAAGACTTTTTTTGATATTTTTTTTCGTATATCCGTGTAATCCGGGAGAAGACGGGGTGCAGCGCGGACAACGTCAGGGTCGGCACCATCCGCCCCGGTCCAGGAGGGCTTGGCGCCGTGTGGGTCAGCTGTCCCGTAGCGTCGGCCAAAGTATTGGCCGACGCCGGCAGGCTGCTCATCGGTTTCGTGAGCGCTAGGATCACAGTCCTGGCGGCGAGACCGACGAGGTATTACAAATGCCTAGCATCGGGACACACGCGCGTCAAGTGTCAAAGCTGCTTTGACCGGACTATGTTTCCGCTGTGGTCGACCGGGGCATGTGGCGGCGGAATGCTCTGCCGCCCCTCACTGCCCGGTGTGTGCGGCGGGTAACAAGGCCGCCAATCATCAGATGGGGCAGGGGGGCTGCAAGCCTCCCCGCAATTCTCAGCAAGCATTGGGGTCTAGCCAGTCGACCCAGGCTGCCTCCGATGTAGTTCGTGCGTCGACGTCGTCGCCCATGGAGGAGGAGGTTGTAGAGACGACCCAGTAATGGATCAAGTCTCCAACTTTCTGGTCCAGACGAACCTGAACCACTGTGCCGCGGCGCAGGATCTCTTCCTGCAAACCATGGCACAGTGATCGATAGGTGTTGCCGTAGTCGCGAAGCCATATTTTGTCCCTCCCCGTCCAAACTGGATGGGTGACTGGGACGGCTCCGTGGCAGTCGTCGGTTCCACGGCGGCTCATTCCCCGCCCTTGTCGCTAAGAGACAAGGGCACTGGATATGTTGCTGTCGAGAGGGGGGGGATCACTATATATGGTGTATACTTCTCCCCCAACCGGAGTTTGAGCGACTTCGAGGTTTTCCTAACCAGCTTGGAGACCTCGATACGGCGACTAGCGTCTGGGCACGTCCTTGTGCTGGGGGACGGAGGCTCTCTTATTTCATGGGCCCCGTCGTAGTCCAACCCTGGCGCCTCAATCGTGGTCAACTCGGTCCTCGTACCGGTTCGGGCCCAGTTGAAATATCTGGGCCTGATCCTCGACGGGAGGTGGCTCTTCGACGAGCACTTCCATTTGGGTGGACCCAGCGTCGCGACAAGACGGCTGTACACGGGGGTTGTCCGGTCAATGGCACTATACGGTGCACCGGTGTGGGCGGCGGCTCTGACCGCCCAGAATAAGGCACGCCTCTGGCGCCCTCAAAGGGTAATGGCGGTCAGAGCCATACGCGGTTACCGCACCGTTTCGACGGAGGTGGTTTGCGCGTTGGCCGGAACTCCCCCGTGGGATTTGGAGGCGGAAGTGCTCGCCGAAGTTTATCGGCGAGTGGCTGACTCCCGGGCGGAGAGCGGATTTCGCCCTCCGCCCGAAGACGTGCGCGAGTGGCGCGAAGCCGCTCGCCGAGCCACGATGGTTCGTTGGTCGTTCCGGCTGGAGACTCCACGCGCTGGCTTCGCCGCCGTGGAGGCTCTCCAGACGGTCATCGCCGAGTGGGCAGGGCGGCAGCACGGGACCATTACCTTCCGGCTGACGCAGGTGCTTTCCGGGCACGGTTGCTTCGGAAAGTACCTGCACTCGGTCGCTAGGAGGGAACTGAGTCCCGCCTGCCACCACTGCGACTGCAGTGAGGACTCGGCCCAGCACACGCTGGCGGTCTGCCCCACATGGGCGACGCAGCGCCGGGCCCTCACTGCAGTCATTGGAGTGGATCTCTCGCTACCGGCCGTAGTACGCTCCATGGCCGGTAGCGACAGTTGTTTTACCGCGGTCGCAACCTTCTGCGAGGAAGTAATCTCGCAGAAGGAGGCGGCGGAGAAGGGCCGGGAGGACGACCTCCACTCGGACCCGATCCGCCGCCGGCGAACCGCGGGTGGACGGGGTGGGTTTCCCCTCGACCCGCATTAGTTTGGCCAGCCGCGAGGGGGCGGCGACCGCGTGTGCCGGACGTCGCCTAAAGAGAGGAAAATTTTAAGACGGAGCCCGCAACAGGAGCCGGCCGGCGCTAGGAGGGGTCCGGATGTCTTAATAACAGCTGTTCCCGGATCCCTCCTATTACAGGCGCAGAGTGGCACACCGTGTGGTTTTAGTCGGTCCGAGTCCGACACACCACCCCGCCGCAAACCCCGGTGGGGTGACGGTCCGAGGGGATTTCCACACGTAAAAAAAAAACAAAAAAAAAGGCTCTGCCTAGTTTAGGATCAAACTGCCGTGTGTGAGATGTTTGAAGTTATTATTATAACTTACAGATTCTGTTGGTTGTTAAGTTTCTAACCATTTTCATTAAAGTGCGTTTTCTAGGGCTGTTCCACTAGTCCCTACCAGCTGTCCCTCCTGGTGGGGACAAGTGGAATTTTTTTTCCACTCTTCCCTACCACACCGTCACTGGTTGGGATAAGTGGAATTTCATTGCCACTTACCCCTACTAATAAAATCTCAACGTATTCTTGTACAGTTTCAATCAAAATAGCTTTCATGAAATTCATATTCATTAAGAGACACGAGGCGAATTACTGCCTTGACTGCTGCGTTACCTCTTTTACCTGTGAACCAGGTGACAGATGAATGGTCTTATATAAAATCTAACATCATTGATGATTTTGGCATGGAAAAATTCGTGCAGTATTTTGATAAATGGTGGCTTAAAAATAAAGAATTTCAGAAACGGAACGTCTTTGGTCTGCGAAACCGCACCAACAATTTCGCCGGAGCGTGGCACTTTAAAATAAATAATAAGCGTTCCACACATTTAAATTTGCTACAACTATTAAGTAAATTGCATAAATATGCAAATGGTGTTCTTAGAAACATAAACATTACAATCATCAATAAACTTCAACAAAAGAAAAGGGAACGAAAATATATAATCCGAGACACAGTCATACCAGATATACAAATGCAGCTAGTGACTGGCAACATTGATGTTAGATTATGCTTGGAGAAGTTACGCTAAATTATTATTATTTCATCATAAGATTGATTGATTAATTAAGATAATAATATTCACAAATTATATTAAATATAATTTTTCATAATAAATAAAATCTTTCTTAAATTATTATATTTTTCATTAGCATGATTTTATTCTCGACTGTACTTATTAACAAAATTGGTTTGGTAGGGATAAGTGGAAATGAAATTCTACTCATCCCAACAAGCGACGGTGTGTGGTAGGGAAGAGTGGAAAAAAAAGTCCATTTGTCCCCACCAGGAGGGACAGCTGGTAGGGACTAGTGGAACAGCCCGTTTTCTATACTTTGTATACTACTTAAATTGTAATTAATATTTAGCCTCTAAACCTACGGTTGACACAAACAAGGAAAATGTTTTGTGTATTAACACAACCTTCACATACGCATGTTTTTATTTGCCGATAGTATTTAACTAAGCAACGATCATTACATACGACTGTCGCAATACTCGCAATTATGAAGTAAGTGAAGAATTATTTGAGGAGATATAACTAAGTAAGTAAGTAAGACATATCAAGGTGAAGATTTAAAAGCATAGACACTAAATTTAAGGCTAACAGAAAAAAAGTGAGGTTACTGGCGGATATTCCATTCATTCATTCTCTGTACCAGCGATTTTCTTTGTAGGGTACACCTGGGCTCTTGGATCGGTTCGAGTCAGACATAACCATCCCACCGGTGAGTGGTATCCGAGGGGGTTTCCACACAGAAGAATTAAAAATAAAAGTAAGGAGGGGGTCTCTTAAAAGGGGGCAGCGCACCAGTATCTCTTTAAATTACTGATGTCCATGGGCGGCGGTAGTCATTTATCAACTATTGACCTGTATCTATGGTCGTTTGCCCCATACGCCAAATAAAACTTGTGTTTTTAGTTAAAATATCTAAACATGTGACTGCACGGATGGCGTAGTGGTTAAAGTGTTCACCTCACCACTTCCTACTGCGCTGAGTGTTGTGGGTTCGAACCCCCACATGGGACAACACTTTGTGTGATCCACAAATTGTTGTTCTAAATCTGGGTGTTATTTGTGTCCGTTTCAGCTTATGTATGTGTGTAAAGTCAAACAAACAAAAATCAATGCCAAATCACTAAAACGGAACTGTGTACCTACCATCTCTGTGCTCATGTATAATGGAACAGTATGTTTGCATCCTACTGTAGAATTACTTCAAGGTAGTGATGTACCAAGTAGACCTTCAGTCCACTACTTCAGAAGGAAGACGCAATCTTATTTTTATTTAAACCATTTAAACCATTTATTTTTGCTACACAAGAAACATAAAACATACACGGATACAAGGCACATTACTAAAACACAAAATTAATTTTATAATACATTTGGCAAAATGTGTAGCAAGGGCTACCAGCTCAGTATACGTTGCGCGAAAGCACAACACTGGTTTTCAGCTGGCGCCTGACATTTGCCCCAACATTTAGAAACTAAACGCACACAGATAACTCGCATCACAATGAATATAAAATCCAAGTAAATAATATATAAAGTAATAATAAAATAGTAATACATAAAAAAAAAAGAAATTACAGGAGTGTATATAACAAACAAAAAAAAAAGAATTATTTATTGAAAGGATACAAAAAAGTGTTAAAATTATGTTTACAATATATGTATGCAGGTCCTCACGACCAGACTAAGAGCGAATATGAAAGACGGGTGCGAAGGACACACGGTTCCGCTACAGTAATTTCTGTTGAGTAAGAAGTATTCTAAGCAAATGTTTTTTCAAAGTCGTTAGGGACATACTTTTTCGCAGAGGTGGAGGTAAGTCGTTCCATATCTTTGAAGCAGAATACTTGAAGCCTCCCTTGTATTGAGCTGTTCTGTGTGCTGGTATTACCAAGTTGTTGGCTTCTCTTCTGCGAGTATTTCTCTCTTGCACATCCTTAACCCATACTAGCTTTTCGTATAAATATTTAGGTATTTTCGTAAAAACAATTTTATGTACCAAACATGTAAAATGTATTTTTCTACGAGCCTCCATTTTCAATGTATTGGCATAATTTAGATATGGCGTATTTATTACTCTAGTACTTTGGCTTCTTTTATATGAAGTACCTAACAAATTAAAATACCACCTCGGACAACATATTTATATTGCCGTTTTTCTCTGAAATAAATCTAGACTTACTACATATTTACCTTTTTAATAAAAACCTTAATAAATTAAAGATTACTTTCTTTAATGGCACAATACATAAATTAATAAGGTTACTGTTTTTACTTCAGCGACCAACCAAACTCATAGGTATACTGTAGGTGCAATCAACAGTCGCCTCAATATTCCTCGTTTAATATGATACGATTTAAATTCATTTCTTCAATTTACGCTAATATCTGCTCTTTTTGCGCCCGGTTGTATAAATTAAATCCGCTATGTCAACATTTCGGATTTTAATATAACAAAGTTTTATCAGTTATTTAAGATACAAGAATATAAAATGCCCAGCCTTTTCACTTGCTAAAAGATTATAATAATATTAATAACCGCACACATTTCACATACGGCCGTCTGATCGCAAACTAGGCAAAACCTGTACTATGGTAACCAAACTGCTTTTAAACATATATTTCAATGTATATACATATTATAGGTAAATTACACACAGACACAACAAATGATATTTATGATCCTCGGTGGGAATCGAACCCACGACCTCCGTCTTAGCAATCAGGGTCATTATAGACCAACAGGAATATGGTTTAAAAATATTTATAAGTAGTATTATATTATATAAAAGTTTTTCCTACCCGAGCATATAGTAATATCCGTCGTTTAATTAGCTAACTACATGTTTTTAAACTACATATTATTATATTCTACACTACATTTGCGATATCGTACGGCGACACAAACACAAAGGACAACTAAAAATATTTTGCGCACCTATTGTCCTGGAATGTTTTATCGTATTTAATTTTAATGAACCAGTTCGAGTAAACAAACAGTAACAAAGTTTTGTTTTCGTCCCGTAAAAGTGAAGTACTTATAGCCTATATATAGCCGTAGATAGCCGTTTTTTCTGAATACTACAGACTAATGATGCCTGACCTGGTAGCACTAGTTACACGTCAAGGTAGTATTAGTAACAAATCGATATTATTTATTTATTGAGACTTGCTGCAAACATTTAAACACATGTGCAGATCACACCAAATCCCGTCATTTTGGAATCACGTTTTTATCTAGTTGTTTTTCTATTCGTCGGTAACAGTATTTATTGGAAAAAACAGTACCCTGAGGTATTACGGTATAGGGTAAACGAGCAGACGGGACCCCTTGCGACCCCTGATGGTGCAGTCACCCAAGGATACCAACAACTAAAGTCACAAGTAGACAATTTTTTTTGGGGTTTTCCTAAGAGGAAAAATAGCCAAGTTACTCCTTATATAGACAGCTACCTGGTAGTAAAATATTATCAAAATCGGTCTAGCCGTTAGATTACCCGGAATAAACATATAGACAGACAGACAGACAAAAAAAAACTATTTTTTAGGCATAGATATCGTGCAAATAACTGTGTGAGCATGAAAAAACCTACTATTTTGACATTATAAACAGAACTTCAATTTTATTTATTTATAAGAGTATAATGTATTATATAATATAAATTCTTTAATTTATTGTTTGTATATACTAACAAAGAAAATAAAATAGCTTGATACTCACGGATTGTACGCGGCGTAATTAAGGAGTTCCCTCACATAATCACATGGACCTTGTTGTAGAACTCCACAATGTGGTAGCCCGTATACTCCCTGGTGCTGACCTCCAAAAGATATTAAGTTTTTGACTGTCAATTTGGTACCGCAGCGTTGGACCACCGCTCGACTGGAAAAGTTTGATTCCATTTAGGACATGGAAGACTAACAGCTATATACAAGATAAATTATCATCTTTTACATTTGCCAGCCACTGGTGATGTGTGTTACCACCCCTAGTCACGGGTGTCGTAGGAGCCCACTAAGAGAGCAAACTATGCAGGACAACAACACTGCAAAGAGAAGGCAAACTTGACAATCCTCTACCAACCTGTCCGACCAGCGTGGTACAGTAGGCCAAAAACTCCTTTCTAAAGAGAGGCCTATGTCTAGCAGTGGACTATTAAAGGCTGTTAATGTGATGATGATGATGTGACATTTGCCAGAAAGCCAATTATAGGACTTCACCTATAGAGTTACTAGCTGACCCGGGAAAAGTTGTTTTGCCATATACTAACTAAAATTGCGATTAAAAATGGAAGTGGGGGTTAAATTACGTTACTAGGTCGTAAAATTTACAATTATTTTTTATTAAAGTCCTTCGAACCGTTTCAAAGGAGTGTGACCACAAACACCGTAACACGAGATATTAATGTATTAGAAGATAATTTAATTATATATTTTATATATATTAATAGTATCCCTTTTTTAATACTATCAATGTAAAAAAGTGGTAAATGACCTTCTCCATGGTATAAGGTCATTAGTGCTTACAAAAGTTTGCAATACTAAGCAATTAGCAATCCTTCTTTACTTTAGATGATTAGCTGATGCTACACAATACCCCAACTTAAAGAACTTTGCAACAGTGTATACAGCAAACAAAAGTTTTAAAGTGAAACTGGCCTTGTCTATGAGGACAAGTGGATGCTTTGTGGTTGTTTAATACTACTTATTTATTTTACCATAAATAAAAATCTCAACATATACTTAATGGTTATATCACTATATGTGGTTTGCAACTTAAATAAAGTATATACAAAATGTTGATATTCCATATCTGGCAGAATTTTAACTATTGCATGTTTCCGGATAGTGTTTGTGATGGATACTTGATAGTTACTATTATTCCAGATACAAGTATGAGCGTAACATATGTATGATGGTAATTGAATGATTTATACTGTAATAATTTGACAATAATGTACCAAGACAACATTTTCTTTTATCTATAGGTTTTGTTCCCAACTATTGAGTTTTTTGATTAAAGTTCATATTTGGATTGATTGACGGGCCTGTTGATCTAATGGTTAGTGACCCTGACTGCAAACCGGAGGTTGTGGGTTCGATTCCCACCCAGGAAAAATATTCTAAGGAGAGGCCTATGTCCAGCAGTGGACTATTATAGGATATTGATGTGATGTGTGATGTGAGCACGGTCATTTGTTCTGTGTCTGGGTGTAATTTATCTATAATATGTATCTATTTGAAAATATATAAGTATGTTTATCAGCAGTCTGGTTACCATAGTACAGGCTCTGACTAGTTTGGGATCAGATGGCTGTGTGAGATATATTATTATTATTAACAACTAAGCTAACAAAAAGAATACAAAGTGGTCCCTGGTCAATAAAAGGTTGGGAACCACTGATCTATAGAAATCATATCTTACAGAAACTGACTGCCTTGAGAGAAACCTATTGCATTGAAACCCTCTTTGAGTTTAGGATCTTCTGATAGTATTTTACAAGCATATTCAACTTGAGTATTCGGATGCACAAAATAACCACTTTCAAAGTCTTCTATGGTATTATTTCCAATTCTCAGGGATCTAACATATACACCCGGAATTTTTGTTTCAAGGAACTTCTTAAATCCTGCCAGACTTCCAGAAATACAGCATGTGTCACCTACAAATACAGATAAAAATTGTAAGAATACAATACAAGACCCTATGGCATGGTTACTTTAAAAAAATCAGAAATACATTTCTATAAATATTTAACATGTACTATTATACTCAAGGTATTGGGGTTCATGCATTGGCTATGAGGTCACCAACCCCATGATGGTGTCCCCATTGATGGCGGAATAGTCCTCCCGCTATTAAATTACTGTTGTAAAAAAACAATAGGCTTTTAAATAAAAAAAAATTCAGAATGTCCTGGCTTTATGCAATCAAAGATACGTTGCTGAATAAATATTCTTTTTTACAACCAAGCTCATGTACATAAATTAAATAAAACATTGGCTTTCAGATTTTTTTAAGACAAAATTGTATCAAGAATAAGAACATTAGCTGGGTACTTTAAGAAAAAATACTAAACAGAGGTCTACATCGAAATGATAAACATTTTCCATAGACATAAATTATTTAATAACCTAGGGGTGCCTAATACCTTAACAATAATAAAATTTCAATAATAACTTACCCATCCCATGCCATAATATAATGGGTGTTGGTGTACACGATATTAACTTAATTAAGAAAAAAAGTAAGAATATCGACTTCATTTTGTCACAACAATAGGCCATAGGGTCAACTGTAAATAAATTATTATCTGTTGTGAACGAGTTATCAAGGCACCGCAAGACGCAAGTGTTTATACTTCACAAAGTGTAAATAAATAAACGTCAGGGCAGAAGGGTTGCCATTGCTCATTAATATTCAATAAAAAAACACATAATTACTTTATATTATACTGTTTGGTTGTAATGTTCTAATTACAAACTTCAGTAATTCTACAGAATGTTAATCGCTTCAAATACGTTATGCTCCACCAATGTACAGAAGAGTGTAATTTCTTTCACTCTCGTGAAAAGAATCTTGCAAGAAAGAATAGGTATACGAGCAAAAGGTTGACAAAAAATAATGTTTAATATTTCAAGTTTTCATTTGACTATGCCCTCGATAATAACTTTCCCTGTTGGTGATATCAGATCTATTTTTATTTATTACATTTTGAGGTACCTTATCAATCGCAAGTTGTCCCCAATTTTAAGCAATTCCTGCATAACTGGCAACTCCTTCCATTGATTCAAAATGTCACAGTAAACCTATCAAATGAAAACACCATGACAAGTTTACTAGCGTTCTGGAATCCAGAATAATTTTATATTACTTTTGAAACCATTTTATTTAAGTATATTGTAATAAAATGTGTAGTTGTATTTTTAGAACTTGAAAGTATTGTGCTAACATAGGGACTGGACATGAGTTTCTATTTTTTTAATGATGACGTCTACTATAAATCGAAACAAAATATACGTCAAATTGTGGTTCTCCTAAATCTTGGACTATTTATAAAGCAATTTTGTATTTGTAACGTTACACAGATGGTTCATATAGATGGCGTTAGTGTAGTGATCACTAGGGAACGTGCAAAAAACTTTTGTTTTTGCTTTTAAATGAATTTTATGATTTAGTGATTGAAGCAGTTTCATTTACTGTCAGAATAGTTTTAAACTAACCATGTACATTTGGGCGCGAAAATGGACTTACAGCTCAGATGACGTCTCGCGTTTGTTCTTGAATACTTTTATATTGCTGGTTCTAACTTTCGAAATTTCGAGATAGAAGTAGATACATAAAGTACAGCAGTATATTTAAAACGAATCATTATCCTGATTGTTCTCTAGTCAAAGTAGACACAAAAATGCCACCAACAGTAGGTATTCCCATAGAAACCCAATCTTTGTGTGAATATCAGTCCCGGATCTACAATTTTGTCGAACCGGGGTAGAGACTTGATAGTGGCCCCCCTCTCTCTAGCGTTTGAGATAAATCACTTAAAAAAAACTCACAAATATATAGGTAAGTTGACTTTTGTAGTGTAGGCCTGTGTGGCACCTTTTTCTTACAAGTCAACGGTGAGCCAGCCAATCAGGCTTCCGTATGCTAGGCACTTTGTGGAGCAAGTTTTTATTTTAAATCATACTCTGTTATGATTTTGGTGCCAACTGAAACTGGGGTTTTGCCCTCCCCTAGATCCGGGGCTTGATTTTTCAATTTCAAATATCACCTTACATTGCCTTACCATACATACATACGTACATTACCTTTTCATAAATTCTATTTTAAGGGCTGCGGTGATAGCGTAGCGTATGATGAGGGCATTAAGAGCCTAGCAGCTCAGATCAAATAAAAAGTTTTTTATTTCCTCTGAGCCTAACAGTGGAACATTTCATCTTTTGATCAACACAATGTTGAACTTAAAACAACAAGCAATAAGGAAAGAAATACAATACAATTTATACATTCTTATACGTTTATTTCATTTTGGTATTTCAATATATACATATATGAATAATAAATAACGTTTTTTACATAATACTTATCACATTTTTAATATTGAAGGCCTATGTCATTGATCCCTGCTGTCATATTATAAACATTAACATGATTGCGGAAAATAATAATCATTTTGTTAAACTCGCCAATGTTTGCTTAAAGACCATGAGATAAACCAGAATACTTAAAAATAATTACTACAATTTGTGTAGTGTCAATTTTCATTTACAAAACAAGACTTATTCCAGTTCGAATTGTTAATGCTAAACCTTAAAAAATACCAATACAAAACTGACAGAAACATGCATTAAACAAATAAAGACATTGTCATTGTGTTAAACAAAACGTCAATTTTAAATGAACTCTTTGCAACGGCCAGTAACTTCAATGGAACTAAATAGTAATTGTTTTTTTATAGAAAAAAGTATATAGCTAGTTCTTAAAAATGACGGTCATAAAAGTGTTTTTATTCAAAAAGGTTGTCACTGTTTTATTAATTGTTCGTCAATACAATACCACAACATTGCAATATGTCATTTGCTTAAGCTATGACTAACAAAATCCTTTTTAAGCCGAAATGTAGTTTCTTGTAATGAGTACTTAATTACTTTAATTATCAAGGCTTTTGTATATACAATGGAGAGTTAAAAACTTATTTCAAGCTGGCTTTGACATGATGTATATTAAGCTGGTATTTAAGAGTGTGTAAGAAGTGAATATTAGAATTAAGACTTTTTTTAAAACGAGTATTTAAAAACAGGGTTAACAATTTTACTTTTTAATTTTAATTCAAATCAAGCTGCTGTAACTGTACTAATAGACAGTCAAGCAAATAATACACAATAAACTAATATTACTTTTATAGTTAAAGTCTAAGAGGGTTGTTGATCTCTCCACATGTTGGCTAAAGTGGCATATTAAATTATACAGTAGATTAAATTGTAAATTGTACAGAATCAACAAAACTTAATCGTACATATAAATTACAATAACCTCAATACCTAAGACTCGTTCGCATTTTATTCTGTATTAAATGCTTTATTATGAGTACATGACATAATTTGATTTGCGTAGGTTTGATGTCTTTACCTGCATCATGTAATAAAAAACTAGAGAATTGAAATATGACAGTTTTTTAGGTTCGTTGTCATCTATGGGCCGTACCAATATACATACATATTTAAATATTCTGTGGTCTTAGTAAAGTGTAGTCCTTTTTTTGTCTGACCATATGAATAATAAACAATGCTGTACACTGTTACTATAACTATAAATGAACCAGTTATTTAATTTTTCGTATGTTGTAATTCTAGATGCTACTTTATGTGTTTGGTGACACGTCTTGCGTTTAATATTTATTAGTTTTTAATCATTATAAAAATAGAATTGACAATTCGAATGTAGAAACTATTTATACATACATAATAAAGCTGCAGTCTGTAGCTTCTATCAAAAAGTTAATGTTAATTAATTTAATTTGACAGTTTATGATATTTTACTTATTTTAGTTTATAAAAATGTAGCTTAAAATACAAAAACGTGTTGACAAAAGCAAACATTGTTGATTGTGATTTTAAACTAGGATTTAAAAAACAAACCATGACACAAGCGCCCATATATACTCATTTTTTTCATTTATTAACAATTTATTTTCCTGCATATTCTAATTTTGGTCTGCACAGCATAGATTTAATACATTTCTTAATTATTATGAATCGTTATTTGTTATGGTTCGACATTTACTTAGAAAAAGTAAATAGATAAATCTTCTTTTGTTTTTGCTTTTAAATGAATTTTATGATTTAGTGATTGAAGCAGTTTCATTTACTGTCAGAATAGTTTTAAACTAACCATGTACATTTGGGCGCGAAAATGGACTTACAGCTCAGATGACGTCTCGCGTTTGTTCTTGAATACTTTTATATTGCTGGTTCTAACTTTCGAAATTTCGAGATAGAAGTAGATACATAAAGTACAGCAGTATATTTAAAACGAATCATTATCCTGATTGTTCTCTAGTCAAAGTAGACACAAAAATGCCACCAACAGTAGGTATTCCCATAGAAACCCAATCTTTGTGTGAATATCAGTCCCGGATCTACAATTTTGTCGAACCGGGGTAGAGACTTGATAGTGGCCCCCCTCTCTCTAGCGTTTGAGATAAATCACTTAAAAAAAACTCACAAATATATAGGTAAGTTGACTTTTGTAGTGTAGGCCTGTGTGGCACCTTTTTCTTACAAGTCAACGGTGAGCCAGCCAATCAGGCTTCCGTATGCTAGGCACTTTGTGGAGCAAGTTTTTATTTTAAATCATACTCTGTTATGATTTTGGTGCCAACTGAAACTGGGGTTTTGCCCTCCCCTAGATCCGGGGCTTGATTTTTCAATTTCAAATATCACCTTACATTGCCTTACCATACATACATACGTACATTACCTTTTCATAAATTCTATTTTAAGGGCTGCGGTGATAGCGTAGCGTATGATGAGGGCATTAAGAGCCTAGCAGCTCAGATCAAATAAAAAGTTTTTTATTTCCTCTGAGCCTAACAGTGGAACATTTCATCTTTTGATCAACACAATGTTGAACTTAAAACAACAAGCAATAAGGAAAGAAATACAATACAATTTATACATTCTTATACGTTTATTTCATTTTGGTATTTCAATATATACATATATGAATAATAAATAACGTTTTTTACATAATACTTATCACATTTTTAATATTGAAGGCCTATGTCATTGATCCCTGCTGTCATATTATAAACATTAACATGATTGCGGAAAATAATAATCATTTTGTTAAACTCGCCAATGTTTGCTTAAAGACCATGAGATAAACCAGAATACTTAAAAATAATTACTACAATTTGTGTAGTGTCAATTTTCATTTACAAAACAAGACTTATTCCAGTTCGAATTGTTAATGCTAAACCTTAAAAAATACCAATACAAAACTGACAGAAACATGCATTAAACAAATAAAGACATTGTCATTGTGTTAAACAAAACGTCAATTTTAAATGAACTCTTTGCAACGGCCAGTAACTTCAATGGAACTAAATAGTAATTGTTTTTTTATAGAAAAAAGTATATAGCTAGTTCTTAAAAATGACGGTCATAAAAGTGTTTTTATTCAAAAAGGTTGTCACTGTTTTATTAATTGTTCGTCAATACAATACCACAACATTGCAATATGTCATTTGCTTAAGCTATGACTAACAAAATCCTTTTTAAGCCGAAATGTAGTTTCTTGTAATGAGTACTTAATTACTTTAATTATCAAGGCTTTTGTATATACAATGGAGAGTTAAAAACTTATTTCAAGCTGGCTTTGACATGATGTATATTAAGCTGGTATTTAAGAGTGTGTAAGAAGTGAATATTAGAATTAAGACTTTTTTTAAAACGAGTATTTAAAAACAGGGTTAACAATTTTACTTTTTAATTTTAATTCAAATCAAGCTGCTGTAACTGTACTAATAGACAGTCAAGCAAATAATACACAATAAACTAATATTACTTTTATAGTTAAAGTCTAAGAGGGTTGTTGATCTCTCCACATGTTGGCTAAAGTGGCATATTAAATTATACAGTAGATTAAATTGTAAATTGTACAGAATCAACAAAACTTAATCGTACATATAAATTACAATAACCTCAATACCTAAGACTCGTTCGCATTTTATTCTGTATTAAATGCTTTATTATGAGTACATGACATAATTTGATTTGCGTAGGTTTGATGTCTTTACCTGCATCATGTAATAAAAAACTAGAGAATTGAAATATGACAGTTTTTTAGGTTCGTTGTCATCTATGGGCCGTACCAATATACATACATATTTAAATATTCTGTGGTCTTAGTAAAGTGTAGTCCTTTTTTTGTCTGACCATATGAATAATAAACAATGCTGTACACTGTTACTATAACTATAAATGAACCAGTTATTTAATTTTTCGTATGTTGTAATTCTAGATGCTACTTTATGTGTTTGGTGACACGTCTTGCGTTTAATATTTATTAGTTTTTAATCATTATAAAAATAGAATTGACAATTCGAATGTAGAAACTATTTATACATACATAATAAAGCTGCAGTCTGTAGCTTCTATCAAAAAGTTAATGTTAATTAATTTAATTTGACAGTTTATGATATTTTACTTATTTTAGTTTATAAAAATGTAGCTTAAAATACAAAAACGTGTTGACAAAAGCAAACATTGTTGATTGTGATTTTAAACTAGGATTTAAAAAACAAACCATGACACAAGCGCCCATATATACTCATTTTTTTCATTTATTAACAATTTATTTTCCTGCATATTCTAATTTTGGTCTGCACAGCATAGATTTAATACATTTCTTAATTATTATGAATCGTTATTTGTTATGGTTCGACATTTACTTAGAAAAAGTAAATAGATAAATCTTCTCGTTTTGAATTTGTTATGCAGTCACAATATTTTTTTAGGACTACAAGTCATTTAATAAAAAATAGTCTCTGCATAATGCGACCGTTCGCGAAACTTTCATTGTGGCGTAAAATCCTTTCGTTTGCGCTGTAGATTGCGTATCACTAAAGAAGAGTTAATCTGTTATATTGGAATTGAAAAAGTCGTCTCATAGTTAAGCCACACTTCCTTAGGTATATCATGACCTTTTAGACTGTTATTCTCAGGCGTAAGTATATTACGGGGCTATCACAAATCCTGACTGCCGTATTGTACTTTTGCGGAACTTATTCATACCATAGTCTTAATTGTCAAGGATCTGACCAGACCAGAGGTTGATAGAACAATAATACTAATATCTTCACACATCTCACACACAGCTGTCTGATCCCAAACTAGGCAGAGCCTGTACTATGGTAACCAGACCGCTTATAAACATACTTATATATTTCTAAATAGATCCATACATATTATAGATAAATTACATCCAGACACAGAACAAATGACCGTGCTCATCACACAATTATATGTCCTGAACCCACGACCTCCGGCTTAGCAGTCAGGGTCACTAACCACTATACCAACAGGCCAGTCAATAAAAAAGATATAATTATATTTATGACTATATAAATAATTTATTTGAACTTTGCGGTAATTTTATAGCACATTAACACCTCCTTAGGTAATTATTTATGTGTCAGACGAAAGCAATTTTACCTTATTTAACACTCTTTTTTCTCACTCTCTGGAAAACGTAACGAACTATATACAAAATTTTTGTGTCAAATAAATGTTTAGTTCTTACATTTAAATCTTAAAACTAAACTTTTAAACTAAATAGTTATCATAACCTTTATATCCTACTACAATCACAGTCTCAGAGTAAATCACTATAGTCTGTTACATTACTGAATCACGTTGGGATAAATATCTTTGGAAACATCCAATTGCGTTGACGTAGTTACTGATACTAAATTCTTTAAAGTAACTCTAAATTACTTCAAAGTAAGATCTATTGGTTTACTTAAAACCATGAATAATTTGGAGTTGTTCGACAAGGCATTTGTGTCAATAGTGTATATCGTCTGCATCATTCCTTTCAATAAGCAGAAATCGGCAAATTCCACTACTCACATAAATGCCATTTATCAATGACTAGCTAGTGACTTTTTTACAATATGTTACAGCAACATCATTTTGCTCAAGTCATATCCCTCTCGTCTATTTAAATCTCGATCAAATATACCACATTTATTTTTATACTACATGGTAAGTTTGATCTAAGATTTAAAAAAAAACTGCACACGATGCGATAGCAACGTGAAAATGATAACAGAGGTCATTGTTAAATATTCACAGAAATGGCAAACACAAAGTCTAAATATTATTTGAATTTTACATTTATTTTGACGTGATCCCGATCTAGTCGAAAGCTAGATAGTACAGCCTCATTATATTGCACTACATTTTATTTCAGGCCTGTTCTAAAAGCCCAATCAAAAGTAATGCAATTGATGACTAAGTACAGTTCTGTACAAGCATTGTAAAAACATTATCTGAACGTCTTAAAGTAAACTAAATCTTATATTTAATCCTTAATTTAGTGATCAGATCTTGACTGTATTATAGTATTCTCATAGAGTCTGTGTGTTTTATGATATTGCGTCCCAAACTTCGAACCTTCTTCGCCGGCTCAAAGTAATCGCTCGAGTCTGAAGAGTCTGGCTCCTGGTGTCTATGGTGGGACCGGATCCTCCTCGCCCGTGTGTCTGAATCGTACATTAGAGTGTGATTGCTTCCTACTCTTGATCTGAAGGCGATACGGTAAGGTGTACTGCTTTGTACATCCGACATTGATCTAATATGTCTTCTGAGTTTTGATTCCTTTGTGAGTGGTGAGAAGGTTATCATCATCTCTGACTTCGGCTCTGACGACCTGAAACGAGCAAAATAAATATTTTAATAAGGATTTTACAGCTTAGTGTAGGAAATTTTAGTTTTTGTAGTTTATTAATGTAAAAACTCATTAGATAACGATGTTTGTAGAGGAATTTACATTGACTTGAACATTAGTTAACTACTCGAGACAGTCATAATATGATATTTCAATTTAATGAGTTTATACGTTATGAAGTAATCTCTATAAATAGCCACGTTATCATTTGACAGCGCAGTTTCTCAAATAATAAATAAATTATTTATAGTTAATTGTGATGTCAGAACATATTACTATATTCTCTCTTTACATAATTGAACAAATTAGTACAATATTGTTTGATTTAAGCGAGTGTGACAGTTTCACGAGTGGAATCAAAACAAATGAATTTATCGACGCTATTAATTTGCGTAGAGCATAATCATCGGTTTAGAAGTAGAAATATCTGGAAGAATGATTTGTAAATTCAATGTCACGGTGAATGTAGTCACAGTCAAAGTATTACTAAGACTAGCAAATTACCGATTCAACTTTCTAATATATATTACTTTACTACGAAAATACCTTTTTTTACATTTGTGAGATCGAGAGTAAATCGAAACTGATTTTTGACCAAATTTTTATTATGAGAATTGGCCTTTAAGCATTCAATGGAAAGGTACACAAACAATACTGCTTTCTCCCTTCAATAGTTCCGCCTCAGATGCTAACCAGCCTTATGCGGGTGGTAGTCTACCTTCATTATGGCGAAGGTGACAAATTACATGCAGCTAGGCAGTCGGACTCCTTGTCGGTGTAGATATTTCCGTGTTATATAACTAGTATCAAGGTAGTTTGAAGTCGCTTGAGGATAAAGAATCAGATATCTTTATAAGTATGTTTTATTGTAAGAATGAGCTCAATTTTAACTTAGGGAAAAAAACATTCAAAACTCGACAGTGCTTGTCACAAAATGTGGTTATTTCTTTTTACTTTTTTATGAATTATGCCTATATTTTAAATTTAAATTGAAATTTCAATGCCTAGACAATGACATTTCGGAAAAATGATATTTTCTTTCATTTTAAACATTCGCAATAGTCCAAAGCTTGCTTTGATGCGATGCCACTTTGGCGCCGCGGCAGACAGACAGTAAGAACAAAACATACTTAGGTAAGCATACTCTTAATTCATTATTAAATTTTATCGTCGTGTAAACGGGGTGTTTGACTTGGCTCGTGTATGCTCGTTGTCGATCGGTATTAGTGTCGGTTTTAGCACAGATCAAAGGAAGCTCGCGTAAAACGTTTGCGACGTATTCACACGTTGTCGCTTGTGCTTGTTCCCTACTGCTCAATTTGATATTACAAGTATTGCAGTTGAGCGGTCCGAAATCAACATTAAGTCTCAATGCTCTACTGATTGAGTAGTAGTAATCGAGAGCGAGTCGATGTGACATTAACTTGCACTCAGCCCTCTGACTAAAAATATGTTCACGTCTGCTATGTTTGGCTGTCTGGAACACAATGGCACCCTCGCAAGCGTGTAAATGGCATCCAAGCGTTTGTAAAGCCATGGAGCTTGTGGACGTTTGCCAAGCCTCGGCACGCATGTAAACTGCGATTTTTGTCGAGCGGCTAGGCTCGGCTCGACTCGTGTCGAATTGTCGCATACGTGATGATAAGAATTGTAAGGAGGTACTGAAGGTAAAGCCACGGGACAGAGAGGTGGCATTGATCCCACTACCAAAAATAAATAATAAAGAATAGAAAACACTCTTTTGGTTAAAGGGGCAGTATGTTATACCTAAATTAGAATAAATATAGTGGCTTCTTACCAAATAAGTGTATTTTTACCCATTAACAAATACACGTATTCATGAAACGTATTTAAATCTACGTATTTGACTGTTGGAATTAATAAATAAATGAAATAAGTGATTGTAAATAACATAAGTAGTTATTATTATACAAGGTGATTTGTGAGACCTCCTTGAGTTTTTCTTGATAATCATATAGTGTGGACTTTATATTATGTAGTGATAGTAAGTAGGATGACAATAATATCTAAATGTTTATCAGTTCGTATTTTTTATTTGATCTATTTTAAAGGTACGTAGTCAAAGTACTTCACAACTTCATTGGTTCATTATCATGACACATCACATCATTATAATAATTTCAATATTTAATCTACACTTTCAATGTAAAATAGTCGTTTAAGATCTGCCGAAAAGTAACTGATAGGATCTTTTTTCACCTCCAGATATCAACAGATTTGAATAATGATATATGACACATCACTAGTTCGTACTACTTACTCACAAAATTAATCATAAATGGTTCCTTTAATTAACTAATATAACCATTGACGTTAATGTGATTGTTATACAAGGATAAAGAAAACAGTGTGTCACCACCCCTATTCATCCAGTGGGTGTCGTAAGAGCCGGCTAAGGGAGAAAACTCTGCAGGACAACAGCACTGCAGAGAGCAGGAAAACTTTAAATTAACCCTATCCCTACCAACCCGCCGTCTGGTCAGCGCGGCACAGGAGCCAAAAACTATAATTCTAAGCAGAGGCCTATGTCCAGCAGGAGATTATTAAAGGCTGTTGATGATGATGACGCTAATAAGCTCATCACTATGAATAAATAAACTTTCTACTGCCTACCTACGCCATTAAATTCGTTAAGGTGCCCAATTTATTGTATAATTTAAACTTAAATTATATAACCATATATAATAAAGACATTTCTTGCATACTAACTTGTTAATATTAAATAACTTTTCGACTTATGACCTGTGATTTCAAACGTTCTTTACGCCCTTGCACATGTTCTTGGGTTGGCTGGACATATTTATTTTATGCAGAAATTCAATATTTGGTTTTGTGCGCAAATATATCATTTATCTAACCCACCTTTCTAAAGAAAGACCTATGTCCAGCAGTGGACTATTAAAAGCTGTTAATATTGATGATGATCCAACTTTCTTTATACCCAACATACCCAGAGTCCGTTTTTATACTCTGAAATGATACATTGTCTGATAAATCTGTTAAATAAATACATATTATGTTGATAGTAATATACATTAAAAATAAAATTTATTTGTATCAGAAACTTGACATAAATTTAACTTCCTTAACTAATTGCAACTCGAGGATAAATTCTTGCATGTTGCGTAGGTTTTTATAATAATTTGTTCCTATTATCATCATCATCATCATCATCATCAACAGCCTTTAACAGTCCACTGCTGGACATAGGCCTCTCCTTAGAAAGGAGGTTTTGGCCTACTATACCACGCTGGCCAGACGGGTTGGTATAGGGTTTGTGTCAAGTTTTCCTTCTCTCTGCAGTGCTGGTGTCCTGCGTATTTCGCTCCCTTAGTCGCCTCTTACGACACCCACGGGATGAATAGATAGAGATAATGACACTCTGTATTCTTAATCCGTCACCACACGGAGAAGAAGGTTCCTATTAAAATATAGTTAATGAAGTGGTGGATATCTGATCGCATTTAAACAATTCAATTAATACAAGACTACACCATATTGACTGACCTTAAATAGGAACCGTGAGTCAATGAATTGTGTGTCTGGATTACCTTATTCATCAACTGTTTCTAACTGAATCTTTCTTCTTTTTATATCCTACAGTAATCTATACTAAAATTATAAACCTGAAGAGTTTGTTTGTTTTGGTTAAACGCGCTAATCTCAAAAGTACTGGTTCGAATTGAAAAGTTCTTTTACATTTAGGTAGGCCATTTATCGAGGTAGGACACAGGCTATATAACATTACGCTACTAGCAATAGGAGCAGAGCATCAATGAAAAAAGTTGAAAAAGCAAGGAAAATTTATTTCTTTTGCGAGAAGCATACTACGTTGCGCGGCCAGCTAGTTGTTAATATAATTAATTAACAATTAGTACAAGTAAATATACAACCAAGCTGAAACAACCTTCAATAACAACGAAAGTTCTATGTAAGCTTTTACTAGAGGTTTCTTTTTCATTAACATAGAAATCTTCATTAAGTCGAACAAATACCCTAGAAACTATAATTTAACCGAAAGGCGTCGGAGTCTGATAAAGTTGATGCTTGTTGACTTTACTAGGTGTCTAAATTCAATAGAAATTCTTAAGCGTAAGTATTTATTATGCTTAGTGTATGCGAGTATATCACACAGGAATAGTCCTCAGGCCTCGTCCCGATTGTCGTTTACACGTGCTCAAATAAAGTTCTTAATGATGTTAAAATGCGTTTGTCATGATGTTTTTACCTATGAGAAAACGGAGCAGATTCACAAGTCATTTTTTAACGTATAATTCGGAGAATACGCCTTTTTTAGTCATTACACGTTACTAATGACGTTATAAGACGTTACGTACAAGTAGTCTAACATTTTAACGTTTTAAAAACAAAAACTCAAACGCGGGAATATGTGTTCCATTTCGAAACTTCTTAACGAAATACTTAACTCGGTTACGATACTACCTACGATACACCTTTACTACTGTGGCTATGCTAATTGGCTGTACACACTATAAAATAGTGACAGAACATTTTAATTTGTACACATTTCAAATTTAGAACGTTGCTGCACTTATTACTTTTTTTACGCATAAAAAGTGGTGGCGTAAAGGTTTCATTCATATTACGTTATCTACAGAAATTTTAATACTTAAACAATTTAACAAAAAAATTGTTTGATATAACTAATAAGGCAGTTAGGCAGTTAAGAATAAGACGCAGAAACTTTTTTAACAAGAAGAAAACATATAGATGTCAGCCCACGGCCAAGGCAATTATAATTACGCTAACGGAGCGCCACCATGACGAAGCAGGAATACCTATACACTAAAAAAAGTTTTTTTTTCAAATGTACATTACACTATTTGGTAATACTTTATAGTAGTCAAGTAGGTATATAACCGTGGGAGAGTCACGCTTCAGAACATATGGGTCGGATCGATCAGTGATCACTGACCACGATCTCACAGAAAACCAATGTT